CTGAATAGCTGGGATTAAAGTTGCCCACCACTACGTCCAGCTAATTTTTGTCTTTTAGTAGAGAAGGGGTTTCACCATGTTGGCCAGGTTGGTCTCAAACTCCTGACCTCAGGTGATCCATCCGCCTTGGCCTCCCAAAGGCTGGGATTACAGGTGTGAGCCACAGCACCCAGCCTTACTGTTGAGTGTTTGATCTGCAGGTTCCAAGGATCTGCTCCTCTCCTGCGCGTACCTTCGTGAGGCATTCCTTTACTCCATATACACTTGCACTTCTTGACTTCTTTTTTGAACCAGTTATAACATCTGCCTATTTCTCTCTTTAATGAATAAAATAAAATATGTACCACTTTTATATCTGTATAAAAGTCATGATTTCATCTTTTGCTGAAATTTATCTTTTAACACTGTAATCAAACATTCCCTTCCTGGCATTGGCAGTCAGAGAAGTAAGAGACAGGTGGTAAAGTGTGGTGGAGTGTGGTTTTCCTGATTTCATGCCCTAAGGATTTAAATAACTCACAAGTCAGACTTCCAGGCACAACACAGTTCTCCAATAGAAATAGAGAAAACAGATTTTGACAAGCAAAAGGGGCTGCTATAGTGGGGATTACAGGATTATAACAAGCAGGGAAGTCTAGGAACACATTCCTGGAAGCTTTAGAAATTTAGAAATGGGGCCGGGTGCTGTGGCTCACACCTATAATCCCAGCACTTTGGGAGGCAGAGGTGGGCGGATGACGAGGTCAGGAGTTCAAGACCAGCCTGGCCAACATAGTGAAACCCCATCTCTACGAAAAATACAAAAAATTAGCCGGGCATGGTGGCGCATGCCTATAATCCCAGCTACTCAGGAGTCTGAGGCAGGAGAATCGCCTGAACCGGGTAGAGGAGGTTGCAGTGAGCTGAGATCGCACCACTGCACTCCAGCTTGGGCGACTAAGGGAGACTTGTCTCAAAAAAAAAAGAAAATTCAGAAATGGAAGCCAAATGGAAGCTCATCCAGGGTTCAGGGTTACAGAGGACCCCAAGATAACACAGGATGGTGGTGTCTAACGGGAAAGGCATTAGGCTTTTCCTTTGCTGGTTAAACACTGTAGGAACTTGCATAACTGATTTTCAGTCTTGCTGCAGGGAAAGCAGGGCCAGTACTTATCCTTAGATGATTCCACAAACATCAAACGTCTCCAAAGCTTTATTTTTCAGCAGCCACGCTTGTATTTTCCAAGTGTCTCTGGCTGAGACAGCATGAATTAGGAAGCGACCTGAATGAGCACACACTGGCCTCCGCAGACAGGCCAACGACCGCCCTGTGTTCTGCTTTTTCCCTGGCTGTTCCCAGGCCTGGATAGGATTCCCTGGACACCGGCGGGGCTCCCTTCTAACCACTTTATTTGAAATGGGCTTTGAAAACAACAGGTGGCATCTTCCATCAGCGAGTGGACATAAATCTCAGTGCCCAGTGTTTCCAAGGCCTGCCGGCCCACATGGCTGTGGTGTAAACTGTCGTTCTTGGCAACACCTACCCAGCATCTAGGATGTCCCACCCTTAGACCCACAGACCCAGCCCCCTCCCTTCTTAATGCCCACCGTAGGGAGAAGCTGTCCAATGTGGATACTGATTTCAATGCGAATATGCTCGGTTTTTTCATAGTTTTATATTAGTAAAAGTCTACAACCAGAATGTCTCACTGTAGGAAGATAGTTACAAGGAGCATTAACGGCATGGAGGAAAGGCTCCTCCGTGCTAAATGGCCAAAGCCAGTGCCAGTTTGCATATGCCGTGATTGGCACTATGTCTTTAAATGTATGGCGAAACGCCGACAGGAAAACGCCGAAGTGTAAAGGGCGGCTGCTGGGGACGCGTGGGACCGTGCAAGGGCAGCGTATCGCTTTTAGGAAAGTCAGCTTCTGAGAACGGAGGGCGCGAAGTTCCTCGCCCGTGCAGGCGGCAAAGCACTTCTTTGCCATAGTCGGAACCCACGCGCGAGTCCAAGGGAGCGGGGCCCGGGCTGGGTGCCCCGGGGAGGCGCACGTACCTTGTCCCGCGGCCTGAGGCTGCGCTGCCCCGCGCGGAGGGAGGCCGAGCCCGGAGGAGGCGCGCGGCGCCGGGCAGGGGCGCCAGGGGGACGTGGACGCGGCGGCCGAGGGCGCGGGGATCCCGGCGGGGCCAGTGGCTCCACTCGCAGTCGCAGCCTCCAGGGACTGCCGAAGCCCGCAGGGGGCGGAGAGGAGGAGGGAGGCCCCGGGCGAAGAGAGGTCTGCGAAGTGGGGGAAGGGAAGGCCAGGAGGCGGGGAGGCGCAGTGGGGAGGGGAGGAGAGAAGGGAGGGAGGAAAGTGTGAGGGGAGGGGAAGAAGTGGGGTGATCAGAGGGTGGGGGAGGGAGGAAGGGGGAGGGAAAGGGAGGGAGAGGTGGGAGAGGCTCCAAGGTAAAGAAGTGTGCAGGGAGGGGGAGTGGGAGGGAGGGAGCCGCAGAGGGGAGGGAAGAAGAGAATCAGAAGGCAGGGAGGCCAGGAAGAGGAACACAGCCAAGCCAGCCTTCTGTGAGATTTACAGGCGTGCCTGGCTTCCAAGACAAGTAACTTACTTTGTAAATAAAAATTAAGCTATTTTTTGTGTATTTTATTTTATTTTAGAAATAGGGTCTTATTCTGTCACCCAGGCTGGAGTGCAGTGCCACAATCATCAATCACTTCAGCCTCAAATTCCTGGCTTCAAGCTATCCTCCCCGCTCAGCCTCCCAAAGTGCTGGGGTTACAGGTGTGAGCCACCAAGCCCAGCCCCAATTTTCTTTTCTTTTTTTTTGAGATGGAGTCTCACTCCGTTACCCAGGCTGGAGTGCAGTGGCACGATCTTAACCTCACTGCAACCTCCGCCTCCCGGATTCAAGTGATTCTCCTGCCTCAATCTCCTCAGCAGCTGGGATTACAGGCACATGCCACCACCCCCGGCTAATTTTTATATTTTCAGTAGAGACGGAGTTTTGCCATGTTGGCCAGGCTTGTCTTGAAATCCTGACCTTAAATGTTCCACCTGCTTCGGCCTCCCAAAGTGCTTGGATTACAGGTGTGAGCCACCACACCCAGCCCAGCTCCAAATTAAGCTTTTTCAAAACAAATTAATACACGTTTCATACTTGCCTCCTCCTTCGTGTTTTGTCTGGTCGTCTGGCCAAGGTTATGATAACAGCTTCAACTTGGCTACAGAAGCACACGCCCGTGGCTCACCCAAACTGGAAACATACAGGCAAAGGGAATTCTAGGAATAAAGCTCATCCTGGACAAACGGGCGCATTACTTGGTGCCCTCTCCTCTGCAAAGTTGTTGTTATGGACTGAATGTCTGTGTCCCCTCCCAAATTTGTATGTTGAAATCCTAAACCCTAGTATGGTGGTATTTGGAGGTGGGGCCTTTGGGAGATGCTTAGGTCATGAGGGTGGAGTCCCCAAGAATGAGATTTGTGCCATTACAAAAAGCGACAAGGGAGCTTGCTTCCTCATCTGTACGCCAGGAAGATGACACTCACCGAGAACCCAATCCTGCTGGCACCCCAATCTCAGACTTCCAACTTCCAGAACTATGAGAAATAAAGGTTGTTTAAGCTACACAAGTCTACCTATGGTGTTTTTTTTTTGTTTGTTTTCTTTTCTTTTGTTATTTGAGACAGTCTTGCTCTGTTGCCCAGCCTCTGTTACAGTGGCGCAATCTTGACTCACTGAAACCTCCGCCTCCGGGTTCAAGCAGTTCTCCTGCCTCAGCCTCCCAAGCAGCTGGGATTACAGGCATGTGTCACCATGCCTGGCTACTTTTTGTATTTTTAGTAGAGACGGGGTTTCACCATGTTGACCAGGCTGGTCTTAAATCTCCTGACCTCAGGTGAGCCTCCCGCCTCAGCCTCCCAGAGTGCTGGGATTACAGGTGTGAGCCACCGCGCCCAGCCTGGTGTTTTTGCTATAGCAGCCCAAACGAACTAAAGCAGGGTTTCCTGCTAGCCATACACTAATTTTCTTTCAAACAGGATCTTTCAAAATCCAGTCTGAAGCATCTGCAGTTGAATTATTTTACGAGCTTGAAATGTCTCTAAAATAATGGGTAGGGATTTTTTAAACACCAGAATAATTAAAAGAAGTTACCAAAGTGTTATTACCCAGAACAAATTAAGAGTAAGTCCCACAGAAAAAAAAAATCGAGACAGGATCTCACTCTGTCACCCAGACTGGAGGGCAGTGGCACAATCATGGCTTACTGCAGCCTCTACCTCCCTGGGCTCAGGTGATCCTCCCACCTCAGCCTCCTAAGTAGCTGGAACTATGGGCAAGTGCCACCACACCCAGCTATGCTTTTTTGTTTGTTTGTTTGTTTTTAGAGATGGGATTTCGTCATGTTGCCCAGGCTGCAGAAAAATTCTTCTTTCCATCCTACAATGCACAAACTGCTTGTGACATCCAAAAGGGCAATTTTTCAACTTCACCAATTTTAGTGCCAAGTTCCACAGAACATTCATCACATAAAAGTGAATATTTAACCTAGGCTTTTTAAAAAAATTCAGTTTCCTTCTTATAGAAACGCTCAGTGGAAACGAACACTAAGATTTCATGGAGTTCCCTATACATTAAAGGGCTATGACTTAGTGTTTCTGCTCGTTACCCCTCCAAAGTTAGTTTTATTTTTCATTGTTAAATAAGTAACTAAATTCCGAGGACAGAATGAGTCCAAGCTGAATTAACAAACGAGGCAAGGTCAAAGTTAAACAAAATTGCTGACTCTGCTCAAATCCCTGTGATTTACACTGACCTTGAAGGCAAGGTCAGGAAAAGTATTCCATGGAATTGTTCCTCTAAAGACACTTGAAACAAAATCAGAACAAGTGCTGCTGTGTTTCAGAACGTCTCAAAATAATACCTGAGGGCAAACATATTCTGTTATCTGTTACCATTTCCTGGCCGTGTGGCTGACTCAGCCTCCAGCCCTCCTCTCCTCAGTGGAGCTGCAGGGAGCCTGCTGGGAAAGCGCTGAATCCTGTGCACAGGGCAGGCACTGCTGGTCAAGACAGGTGAGAGGCTGGGTAGCTGACTTCTAGAAGGTTCTTGAGCACCAGTCGGCCATCTTGTCATCCCCAGGTAGAAAGCTTAAATTTGCTTTTTTCTTTCTTTCTTTCTTTTGTTTACTTTGTATTAATGGAAATGTACAAATATATAGAAAGGTAGAAAAAGAATACAATTAATTCCCATCTACCCCAGGCCTAAATATAATTATCTTTAATATTTTGCTAAACTTGCTTCATCAATATTTTTTGGAAGCATGGAAATTATAGACAACCTGACATTTCACCCCCTAATAATTTTGTAGTAGTCAGCCTCCAAGATGACCCATAATGTGCCCTGCCTCTGAGAATTCACAACCCTGCAGAAAACAGACTTAGTGATGGTGTGTTAGTCCACTTTCATGCTGCGGATAAAGATATACCCGAGACTGGGTAATTTACAAAAGAAAGAGGTTTAATGGATTTACAGTTCCACATGGCTGGGGAAGCCTTATAAGCATGTTGGAAGGCAAGGAGGAGCAAGTGACATCTTACGCGGATGGCAGCAGGAAAAGCGAGCCTGTGCGGGGAAACTCCTTCCTGTAATACCATCAGATCTCGTGAGACTTATTCACTGTCACGAGAACAGCCAGGAAAGACCTGCCCCCAGGCTGGGTGCCATGGCTCACACCTGTAATCCCAGCACTTTGGGAGGCCGAGGCAGGTGGATCACCTGAAGTCAGGACTTTGAGACCAGCCTGGCCAACATGGTACTAAAATGCAAAATACACCATGTACTAAAAATACAAAAAAATAGCTGGACATGGTGGTGGGCGCCTATAATCCCAGCTACTCAGGAGGCTGAGGCAGGAAATCACTTGAACCCAGGAGGAGGAGATTGCAGTGAGCTGAGATCACTCCACTGCACTCCAGCCTGGGCAACAAGAGTGGAACTCCACTGCCCACATAATTCAATTACCTCCCACCAGCTACCCCCACAACACATGGGAATTCAAGATGAGATTTGGGTGGGGACACAGCCAAACCATATCAGATGTTATGTCTCCTCCAACATTAGATTAGAGGAGACTCTGGGACTTCCCCTTCTCTCTTCTCTGTCTCTCTCTCTCTCTCTCTCTCTCTCTCTCTCTCTCTCTGTGTGTGTGTGTGTGTGTGTGTGTGTGCGTGTGTGTCTGTGTGTATGTATGTGTCTGTGTGTGTATGTGTGTCTGTGTGTGTGTATATCTAGCTTTCTCTCTGATCACATGCTCTAGGGAAGTCAGCTGCCAACCATGGCTTGAGTAGCCTCTGGAGTAAAGAAATCTGTGACCCACAGCCATGTTTCTGGGCCATCCCGGACAAGAATCCTCCAGCCCCAGCCAAGTATCAGATGCTATAACCCCAACACTTTGAGGTGCCAAAGCAGGAGGATCACTTGAGCCCATGAGTTTAAGACCAGCCTGGTCAAGGTAGTGAGACTCCGCCTCTACAAAAAGGTGAAAAAATTAGCTGGGTGTGGCAGTGCATGCCTGTAGTCCCAACTACTTAGGACTAAGTGGGAGGATTGCTTGAACAAAGGAGTTCAAGAGCAATAGTCTGACTCTGGTGCTCAAGAGGGAGTACAGTGGCACAATCCTGGTTCATTGCAGCCTCAACCTCCCAGGCTCAAGTAATGCTTCCACTTCAGCCTCCCGAGTAGCTGGGAATACAGGTGCAAGCCACTGTGCCCAGCTATTTTTTAAATTTCCTTATTGAGAGAGGGTTTCATCACGTTGCTCAGGCTGGTCTTGAACTTCTGGGCTCAAGCTATCCGCCTGCCTTGGCCTCTCAAAGTGTTGGGACTACAGCACCTGGGGCAGACACTTTTATATGAGCAGATCTTATGTGAACTTACAGCAAGATCTCACTTATCACCAACAGAATGACTCAAGCCATCCATGAGCTTCAGTGTTTGAATCACTCTCATGATCCAAACTCTTCTCTCACACCAGGCCCCACCTCAAACATTGAGGATTATATTTCAACCTGAGATTTGGGTGGGGACAAATATCCAAACTGTATTAGCAAATTATGCTACAATTAAGAAATGGCTTCTAAGCAAAGATAAAATGCAGGGTCCTGCCAGAAAAACTGTGGTCCAAGATGAATCCTTAGGTGTGACTGTAAAATTCCAAAGAGATATAAGGTGGCATCTCAGAGTACCACTGAGTCAGACAAAAGGCCTGCTCTATAAAGGTGCACCCTACAGTACCTCTCAATCAAAGGAGAGTCCATTGTCCCTCAGCTGTCTGCAGAAGCCAAAAGTAAGAAGGGCTAGTCTCAAACAGATTTGTGGGTGTTGCATTTGTCTAATAGAGCAAACCCCAATAAAATTCACAGAAAATCCAGTTTTTAAGAGAATTATATATACGGAATCCTCACCAGCTTAGACTAAAAGGAACAGAGATAATGCAACTTAAAAAGAAGATCTTTTAGTCTTTTTACTTCTTTTTGAGGGAGGGAACAGGATCTTGCTCTATCAATCAGTCTGGAGTGCAATGGCGCGATCTTGGCTCACTGCAGCTTGGACCTCCTGGGCTCAAACAATCCTCCCACCTCAGCCTCCCCACTAGCTGGGACTACTGGCACATGTCACCATGCCTAATTAGCCATGCCATCATGGCTAATTTTGTTTTTATTTTTTGTGTTGATGAGGGTCTCACTATGTTGCCCAGGCTGGTCTCGAACTCCTGGGCTCAAGTGATCCTTCTACCCCAGCCTCTCAAAGTGCTGGGATTACAGGCAAGATCTACCATGCCTGGAAAAAAAGAAGACCCTCAAATTTCTACTGGCAAGAAGCGGGCTGAGACTGCTACTCAGCCACACACATGACACCTTTTTTTCTCTTTTTGTGAACAGGAGCGTCTGGAGTAGTTATTCTGCGTTCTCTTATATGTTCAGTTGGGGAGGGAGAGGCAGAGATATACAGACAACTTATCAAAGATTATAATGAAGAAACTGTATTTAAGGAAACAAAGTCCCACCTGGACCTGATTTAGACGATGGAGGCTAAGCGCCTGGCTGCCAGACACTTTGACATGAGCAGATCTCTCATCAACTTATCACCAGGAGGATGACTCAAGGCTGGGTCGTCTTGGACAGGAATCCTCCAGCCCCAATGAAGTTTCAGATGACTGCAGCTCTGGCCAACATCTTGACGATCACTTCTTGAGAGACCCTGTCTCTCAGATGGAGAGACAGGAGGTGGAACTGATGCCACAATAGGATATGTCTTTGGGGAACTTTGGGGAGGAGTTGGCGGTATTTTGGATGTGGGAAGAATGTGAATCTTTGGAGCCCAGAAGGCGAACTGTGGCTGTCTGCTGGCTGGCCCGTGCTGATTCTCACCTGCTAGCAGTCATGCCCTTCCGCAGTCCCCCACCCTGCCACGCCTCATCGAACCGTAGTTGGTCTCACAGACAACAGAAGTAATGTGCTATGGTTTGAATGTTCGTCCCTGCCAAAGCTCACGTTGAAATTTAATCCCAAATGTGGCATGCACCATCACACTCAGCCTCCCAAAGTGCTGGGATTACAGGCATGAGCCACCACGCCAGCCTAAGCGTGTGTTTGATTTTTTCACAGGTGGGGCCTTGCTGACCCTGGAAAGTCTGCTCCTCCTAGGGCTGGCCAGTTCCTACCGGGGAGCGTGCCTACCTTTCAAACGCAGACCGACCAATCCAGAGCCCGTACTACACCACCTCCTTAGTTCTGGTAAAGATGGGGTCCCTGCCGGGCGCGGTGGCTCAAGCCTGTAATCCCAGCACTTTGGGAGGCCGAGGCGGGTGGATCACAAGGTCAAGAGATCAAGACCATCCTGGTCAACATGGTGAAACCCCGTCTCTACTAAAACTACAAAAAATTAGCTGGGCATGGTGGCGCGTGCCTGTAGTCCCAGCTACTCAGGAGGCTGAGGCAGGAGAATTGCCTGAACCCAGGAGGCGGAGGTTGCGGTGAGCCGAGATCGCGCCATTGCACTCCAGCCTGGGTAACAAGAGCGAAACTCCGTCTCAAAAAAAAAAAAAAAGAAAAAGAAAAAAAAGATGGGGTCCCTATCACACCTCCTTTACTGAGCGCTCACAGTGTTACAGGACTTTTCCTTAGTTCAGCTAGGGATGGTGTCCTTATCACACAGCCATGAAAATTCAGGCTCACGGACAATTAAAGAGCGAGAAAAATGGGATTTATTGGGCAAACAGAAAAAATTGGGAACGAGAGACTCTTAGCAAAGCGGGAGAGAGTGTTTCCTGCCAGTGGACTTGGTGCCTCGCAGATTGAATCCCAGGTTCCACACAGGAAAAGGAGGGGACAGGCTCCTCCCCGCTGCAAATGGAGCAAACTTCAGCGGCCCCACCCCAGTGCGCAGGTAGGTCCGAGGCTCTGCCAGGGAGCCGTTCCCGCCTGGCTGTCTCAACGGGGCTCTCAGGGCCACTGTCCAGCTGCACTAATGACTCCAGTGCCAGGTACCAGACAACTAGCCCTTATGCCCCAGAGCCTGCTGAAGGTATTCAGGCTCCAGTCCTATGCCTGCTGACCTTGCCCTGCCCATTCCTTCCTTCAAAACCCACAATCAAGCCTCTTGTCCACATTTGCCCTGCTCCTTCTCCTGACATTGGGGCTTCCCAGTGTGGCGGCCTGTGGCATGGTGTGCCACAAGGATCTGTGAGCGTAATACACTACCTTTTCTTTCTTTCCTTCCTTCTTTCTTTCTTTCTTTTCTTTGTTTCTTTCCTGTCTCACTCTCTCACCCAGCCTGCCAGGCTGGAGTGCAGTGGCAAGATATTGGCTCACTACAACCTCTGCCTCCCAGGTTCAATGGATTCTCCTGTCTCAGCCTCCTGAGTAGCTGGGATTACAGGTACCCGTCACCACGCTGGGCTAATTTATGTATTTTTAATAGAGATGGGGTTTTACCATGTTGGCCAGGCTGGTCTCGAACCCCCGACCTCAGCTGATCCACCCCCTCAGCCTCCCAAAGTGCTGGGATTACAGGCATGAGCCACTACTGCACCAGGCAGCTTTTCGTTCTTTTATCTCTGTAGTCTTTTTTAACCTAAGTAATCCCAGTGGTGATTTTAAAATATGTCCACAAATGCTTTTTCCTTTTCTTTTTCTTTTTTTTTTTTTTTAAGAGACAGGGTCTCATTCTGTCACCCAGACTGGAGTTCAATGGCATGATCTTGGTTCATGGCAACCTCTTCCTCCTGGGTTCAAACAATTATCCTGCCTCACCCTCTCAAGTAGTTGGGATTATAGGTGTGCACTACCACACCCAGCTAATTTTTGTAATTTTGGTAGAGACAGGGTTTTGCCATGTTGGCCAGGCTAGTCTGAAACTCCTGGCTTCAGGTGATCCACCTTGGACTCCCAAAGTGCTGGGTTTACAGGCATGAGACACCACGCCAGGCCCCACAAATGCTTTGATTCTCCGCGTTCAAAAGATGCAACTTCCCCTTGAGTGTGGGCAGTACTTAGTGAGTCACTTCTAAGAACCAGAATGTGGCAAAAGTAAAAGGCTGTACCTTCTGGGACTAGGTCATAAAAAGCATGTGGCTTTCCCCTTGCTTTCTCTTCAGCCACCTTGTGAGCTGCTGTTTTTTGGTGTTTTAAGTGTTGGAGAGATAGACAACTGAAACAGTGTCCATTTAACTCACTCGTTTACCATACTTCCTGTGAACCAGCAATTAAATTTAGAGGCTAGATTATCAGGTTGAACATTTTTGGCAAGAGTATTTATAGACTGTCTGAAGAACTTCATGTCACAATAAATCAGGGGGGACATGATAGGTGCTCTACTGTTAGTGGTAAGTGTGATCACTTGGTTCCATTACTAAATATCTGATTCCACGTGCTACAGTAAATTATTGCCCAGAATCCTCCCTGGCCCATCGAGTTCTCGTAAGAGGGGTGTTTTTCCCATTCCTCTGATACTTGGCTTAGCGATGAGATTTGTTTTGGCCAATAGGATGTTAGTAAACATGATACAAGTCGAGGCTTGAAGCATGCGTGCTTGGGCTTGCTTTCCTGTGCTTCTGCCATTACCACGAGGAGGGTTTCTCCCAGACAGCTGTTCTCCGCTGAGCCTGAGCCCCAGCCAGAGTCACCCCTTGAAGCAACACTGTCCAGCCAAACCCAGTCTACATCAGCTGGCTTCCAGATCTGTGCGTGTTTTCAGGAACTTCATTTTGGGTTGGTGTTGTTTTTTGTTTGTTTGTGATGGAGTTTTGCTCTTGTCGCCCAGGCTGGAATGCAATGGCATGATCTTGGCTCACTGCAACCTCTACCTCCTGGGTTCAGGCAATTCTCCTGTCTCAGCCTCCCGAGTAGCTGGGATTACAGGCATGTGCCAACATGCCCAGCCAATTTTGTATCTTCAACAAAGATGGGGTTTCTCCACGTTGGGCAGGCTGGTCTCAAACTCCTGACCTCAGGTGATCCACCAGCCTCGGCCTCCCAAAGTGCTGGGATTACAGGCCTGAGCCACCACACCCAGCCTGGGTTGATGTTTTTAGGCAGCATTTTGGGAGCCCCTAGGTAATTGATACACACAGCCAAACAAGACTACTGCTATAAGTCAACACCATTCACCAGCCTCCTTTTCTCAGAGAATCAGCCTGCTGGTCCACAGCTGTGGTGTAGGCATGCAGCCGCCATGTTTAGACAGTAAGACCTGCCTCCAGGACCATGGTGGATCAGAGTAGGTTGGACACCTGATGTAAGGGAGGCCTTTGGTTTGGGGTGACAGCAAACTAGACGGTGTGCAGGAATAGTAACATGTAAATGCAGGAGCCATGGGGTGACCATATTCTGCTAGGGAAGCAGGTCCAATGTAAGAAAAAGCAATGAAGCAGATGAAAATCAGGGAGGGTCCTGCCAGTGTTTTAGGTTCTGGCTCCCATCCCTTTGAGAGGCCCAGATCTACCCCTGACCTTCATTTCTAGCAAACTCCATCCTTAAAAGTGTCCCTTTTGGAATCCTTCCCAAATCATTTTATGAGACAAACATCATCCTGATACCAAAACCCAGCAGAGACTCAGCAAAAAAAGAAAACTTCAGGCCAATATCCATGATGAACATAGATGCAAAAATCTTCTATAAAATACTGGCAAGCCAATTGCAACAGCATATCAAAAAGCTTATCCACCGTAATCGAGTAAGATTCATCCTGGGGCAAGGCTGGTTCAACATACACAAGTCTATAAATATCATTCACCACATAAACAGAACCAAAGACAAAAACCACATATTATCTCGGTTGATGCAGAGAAGGCCTTTGACAAAATTCAACAGCCCTTTATGCTAAAAACCCTCAATAAATTAGGTATTGACGGAACGTATCTCACAATAATAAAAGCTATTTATGACAAACCAACAGCCAATATCATACTGAATGGGCAAAAACTGGAAGCATTCCCCTTGAAATCTGGCACTAGACAAGGATGCCCTCTCTTACCACTCCTATTCAATATAGTACTGGAAGTTCTAGCCAGAGCAATCAGCCAAGATAAAGAAATAAAGAATATTCAAATAGGAAAGGAGGAAGTCAAATTGTCTCTATTTGCAGACGACATGATTGTATATCTAGAAGACCCCATCGTCTCAGCCCAAAATCTCCTGAAACTGATAAGCAACTTTAGAAAAGTCTCAGGATACAAAATCAATGTGCAAAAATCACATGCATTCCTATACACCAATAACAGACTTAAAGAGAGCCAAACAAAAAACAAATCCCATTCACAATTGCTACAAAGAGAATAAAATACCTAGGAATACAACTAACAAGGAACGTAAAGGACCTCTTGAAGAAGAACTACAAACCACTGCTCAACGAAATAAGAGAGGACACAAACAGATGGAGAAACATTCCATGTTCATGGTTAGGAAGAATCAACATCGTGAAAATGGCCATACTGCCCAAAGTAATTTACAGATTCAATGCTATCCCTATCAAGCTACCAATGACATTTTTCACAGAACTGGAAAAAAACACCTTAAACTTCATATGGAACCAAAAGAGAGCCCGCATAGCCAAGTCAATTCTAAGCAAAAAGAACAAAGCAGGAAGCATCACACTACCAGACTTCAAACTATGCTACAAGGCTACAGTAATCAAAACAGCATGGTACTGGTACCAAAACAGAGATATAGACCAATGGAACAGAACAGAGGCCTCAGAGGCAACACAACATATCTACAACCATCCAATCTTTGACAAACCTGACAAAAACAAGCAATGGGGAAAGGATTCCCTGTTTAATAAATGGTGTTGGGAAAACGGGCTAGCCATGTGCAGAAAGCAGAAACTGGACCCCTTCCTGACACCTTACACTAAAATTAACTCCAGTTGGATTAAAAGCTTAAACATAAGACCTAACACCATAAAAACCCCAAAAGAAAATCTAGGCAAAACCATTCAGGACATAGGCGTAGGCAAGGACTTCATGACCAAAACACCAAAAGCATTGGCAACAAAAGCCAAAATAGACAAATGGGACCTAATCAAACTCCACAGCTTCTGCACGGCAAAAGAAACAGTCATTAGAGTGAATCAGCAACCAACAGAATGGGAAAAAATTTTTGCAGTCTACCCATCTGACAAAGGGCTGATATCCAGAATTTGCAAAGAACTAAAACAGATTTACAAGAAAAAAACAAGCCCATTCAAAAGCAGGTGAAGGGTATGAACAGACACTTTACAGAAGAAGACATACATGAGGCCAACAAACATATGACAAAATGCTCATCATCACTGGTCATAAGAGAAATGCAAATCAAAACAACATTGAGATACCGTCTCACACCAGTTAGAATGGCGATCATTAAAAAATCTGGAGACCACAGATGCTGGAGAGAATGTGGAGAAATAGGAACACTTTTACACTGTTGGTAGGAATGTAAATTAGTTCAACCATTGTGGAAGACAGTGTGGCGATTCCTCAAGGACCTAGAAATAGAAATTCCGTTTGACCCAGCAATCCCATTACTGGGTATATATCCAAAGGATTATAAATCGTTCTACTATAAGGACATGTGCACACGAATGTTCATTGCAGCACAGTTTACAATAGCAAAGACCTGGAACCAATCCAAATGCCCATCGATGATAGACTGGACAGGGAAAATGTGGCACATATACACCATGGAATATTACACAGCCATCAAAAACGATGAGTTCGTGTCCTTTGTAGGGACATGGATGAACCTGGAAATCCTCATTCTCAGCAAACTGACACAAGAACAGAAAATCAAACACCACATGTTCTCACTCATAGGTGGGTGTTGAACAATGAGAACACATGGACACAGGGAGGGGAGCATCACACACTGGGGTCTGTTGGGGGGAAATAGGGGAGGGACAGTGGGGGGTGGGGTGTTGGGGAGAGATAGCATGGGGAGAAATGCCAGATATAGGTGAAGGAGAGGAAGGCAGCAAATCACACTGCCATGTGTGTACCTATGCAACAATGTTGCATGTTCTTCACATGTACCCCAAAACCTAAAATGCAATAAAAAAAGTGTCCCTTTTACATTTCAGATAATGTCACTTGCCAAATGAGGAATGACGAGGTTCATAAACTTGGAAAGAAGAGGTTTCTTCTCAGAAAGGGGTGCAGGCTGCAGGGCGGCCATTGTGACAGGCTGAGAAGCAGAGCCTCTGGCCAGAAGCCAGAAACAGACCCTTCCAGGGGCAGAAGAACAAGACAGGAGTTTATGCTGAATGAAGTGGCCAAATACACACATTTGATGAGCTATGGGAGGAGCCCTGAATATTGATGAGAGGAGAAATATGCGCGTGTGTAATCAAGCTCCGTGTCTTTCCTGGGGACCTGGGTTAGCGTGATCTGAGGGTGGCTGTTTCAGGCCTCTGACATGAAAAGATGAAGCAGAGGACTTGAAAATCCTCACTGTGCAGCCCCTGGAGACTGGCCAGAATGACTTCATGGCCAGTAGTGTCTTATCTAACCACTCCGTGGCCAGTAGTCCTCTTATCAAGGGTGCCAGTCAGTTCTTTTGTCCAGACCACATAAGGGCAGGGCAGCATCAGGTGGCTAGTTGATATCAGGAATGAAGCCTCTTTCCCAAGGGCTGGTTTCTGCTTAGCCCCCTAGGAAAGAAAGTCTCATGGTGGTTATCCAGGGCATGAGGGCTATAATGAGGCGTGTCTGACCTTCCATCCCATCATGACCAGGAACTCAGTTTTCCAGGTTTCTCTGGAGTCCCCTTGGCCGGGCGGGTGGGGGGTGGGGGGAGTCTGGAGACCATCAGTTGCTTGGGAGGCTTAGGATTTCATTTTTATTTCTCATAGTGGATTTCTATACTTGCAACTTTTGAAAAAAATTTTGAGACAGGTTCTCACACTGTCACTCCAGTATAGGCTGGAGTGTGGTGGCACAATCTCAGCTAACTGCAACCTCTGCCTCCCAGATTCAAGCGATTCTTATGCCTCAGCCTCCCGAGCAGCTGGGATTACAGGCGTGTGCCACTACACCTGGCTAATTTTTGTATTTTTTAATAGAGACTGGGTTTTACCATGTTGGCTGGGCTGGTCCTGAACTCCTGGCCTCAAGTGATCCACTTGCCTCGGCCTCCCAAAGCGCTGGGATTACAGGCATGAGCCATCGTGCCCAGCCTATACTTGCATTTTAAGATTCGTGATATACACGCCTGAACCAGCTTCACACAGGTATGCACCTGACCAGACCTATATTAATTTCTTGTGGCTGTCATAACAAATGACCAGAAACTTGGTGGATTAAAACAACAGAATCATATTCTTTCACAGTTCTGAAGACTGGAAGTCTGGCAGGGCGTGCCCCTCTGAAGACTCCAGGGGAATGGATTACTCTAATCTCCCATTGCTATAAAGAACTGTCTGTGGCCAGATGCAGTGGCTCGCATTTGTAATCCCAGCACTTTGAGAGGCCTAGGCAGGCTGTTTATAAATTTGAGACCAGCCTGGCCAACATAGTGAGACCCCGTCTCTACTACAAATAAAAAATATAAATTAAAATAAATTAGCTGGGCATGGTGGTGCATGCCTGTAATCCCAGCTACTCAGGAGGCTGAGGCAGGAGAATCACTTGAACCCAGGAGGTGGAAGTTGCAGTGAGCCGAGATGGCACCACTGCACTTCAGCCTGGACAACAGGAGTGAAACTCCACTCCGAAAAAGAAAGAGAGAGAGAGAGAGAGAGAAAGAAGGAAGGGAAAGAAAGAGAGAAAGAGAAGGAAAAGAACTACTTGAGACTGGGTAATTTATGAAGAAAAGAGGTTTAATTGACTCAGTTGCACAGGCTGTAGAGCATGGCTGGGGAGGCCTCAGGAGACCTACAGTCACGGTGGAAGGGGAAGGGGAAGCTGGAGCGGGGGGAAGGCAGGGAAGGGGGAGGTCCCACACACTGTTACCAACCAGATCTCATGAGAACTAATGATGAGAACAGCAAAGGGCAAGTCCGCGCCCCTCCCCGCCATGATCCAATCACCTCCCACCAGGCCTCTCGTCCAACACTGAGGGTGACAATTCTACAGGAGATTTGGGTGGCACACGGAACCAAACCGTATCAGGGAGAATCCCTTCTTGTTCCTTGGCTTGTTCCTTGGCTTGTGGCTGCGTCACTCCAGTCTCTGTCCCTCTCTTCATAGTGTCATTCTCCTCTGTGGCTGCATCTTCTTCTGTCTTTTATAGGAAAGGACACTTCTTGAATTTAGCACCCACTCAGATCAGCCAGGAATATCCCATCTTAAGATGCTTCAGTTAAACACATCTGCAAAGACCTTTTTTCCTAATGAGGTCGCCTTAATGAATTCGGGGTGTTAGGGCAAGCACCTCATACTCAGGCAGGCTTCTTGGCAGGCCTCAGTCAGAATACTGTCAAAACTTGGTGCATCTGCTGGGGCAGCGGCTCATGCCTCTAATCCCAGCACTTTGGGAGGCTGAGGCAGGCAGATCACTTGAGATTGGGAGTTTGAGAGCAGCCTGGCCAACATAGTGAAACCCTGTCTATATAAAAGATACAAAAATTGGCTGGGTGTCGTGGTACATGCCTGTAATCCCAGCTACGTGAGAGGCTGAGGCACGAGAATGGCTTGAACGTGGGATGCGTTCTGTCACCCGGGTTGCAGTGAGCCCCTGACCAATAGCCACTGCATTCCAGCCTGGGTGACAGAGCAAGAAGCCATGTCAAAAAAATAAATAAATAAAGGGTGCATGTGTTCTATCCAGATTCCAAATATATAGAATTTTAAATATCCACAAAAGTTGTGTGTGGTCTGAAAAATAAGAGAAAGCGAGATTCAAACAAGTTTTAAATTCTTTCATATTGAAAGGAGCAAGGATTTACATATTTATGGATCCCTACTGAAGGTGTCTGAATTAAGCAATGTGTATAACTGTTGTGTAGCAACACTTCAGGTTTTGGGGGTCATTGACAAAACAACTGTAGAAAGGGATCCTCGTGACGACTGGCAGTGGGAAGAGTCATTCTAGATCCCTGCAGCATCGGGACTCACGTTTGCCTAAAGTCCCTGACCTTTGTGGCCTCGGTTAACCAGCATGGTAACTATTTTTTTTTTTTTTCCAGACAGGGCCTTGTTCTGTCACCCAGGCTAGAGTGCAGTGGTGTGATCTCAGTTCACTGCAGCCTCCGCCTCCCAGTTTCAAGTGATTCTCCTGCCTCAGTCTCTGGAGTAGCTGGGGTTGCAGCCGCTCACCACCACACCCAGCTAATTTTTGTATTTTTAGTAGAGATTGGGTTTGGCCATGTTGGCCAGGCTGATCTGAAACTCCTGAACTCAGGTGATCCACCTGCCTCAGCCCCCCAAACTGCTGAGATTACCAGTTTCATGAAATGCTGGTGAGCCACTGTACCAAGTCGTCTCTCCTTTTACTACTTGGCAACCTTGGCACATGCCACCATGCCTGGAGAATTGTTTATTTTTATTTATTTATTTATTTAAAGATGGGCTTCACCGTGTTGGTCAGGCTGGTCTTGAACTCCCGGCCTCAGGTGATCCACCTGCCTTGGCCTCCAAAGTGCTTGGATTACAGGGGTGAGCCACTATGCCCAGCCCTGGAGAGTTTTTTAAGTCATCTTTTGTAGAGATGGGTGGGGTCTAACTATGTTTCCCAGGCTGGTTTCCAAGTCTTGGCCTCCAGTGATCCTTCCACCTCAGCCTCCCAAAGTGCTGAGATTAAAGGCATGAACCACCATAACCATTCAGGTATGTATCTTTTGGTCAGAGAAGATTTATAATTAAGTACTGATAATTTGTGAGACTCAAAACCATACCATAGTATTAATATGAAATTTGTTTAAGTAGGGATACGTGCATATTTGGTATTTTATGTTCTTAATATAGTTAAGAGAATTTGACCTGTTAAGAAGGTCAGACGTGTAACACAAGTTAAAAGGTATAAGTCAATAGTTAATTTAGGCTAGTGATTTAAGAATTAAGACTTAATTAGTTTATTTACCATGTTGAAATGCTTAAGAGAGAATTTGTTTTTCTTCCTTTGCAAATTTAATTTCTTAGATTTCCTATAACTATTTAGTTTTCAGGAATTTTTGGTGTTGAAACAATTTTTGTTATTGAAAAAGAAAGCAGAAGCACTCTAAAAGGAAATCACTGGCTAGGTGCAGTGGCTCATGCTTGTAATCCCAGGACTGTAATTCCAGGCTGACGTGGGCAGATCACCTGAGGTCAGGAGTTCGAGACCAGCCTGGCCAACGTGGCAAGACCTCGTATCTACTAAAAATACAAAAATTAGTCGGGCATGGTGGCACACACCTGTAATCCCAGCTACTCAGGAGGCTGAGGCAGGAGAATTGCTTGAGCCTGGGGAGGTGGAGGTTGCAGTGAGCCCAAGATTGCGCCACTGCACTCCAGCCTGGGTGACAGAGCGGACTCCATCTCAAAAAAAAAAAAAAAAAAAAAAAAAAAAAAAAAAAAAAAAAAAAAAAAGGGAAATCAGTTACATCAAATTTATAAATGTGGTTGAAAAGGTTGAGAGATGGTTAGTTAACTAAGTTAGGTTGAGTACAGTGGCTCACACCTACAATCCTAGCACTTTAGGAGGCTAAGGCAGGCAGATCGCTTGAGTTCAGGAGTTGGAAACCAGCCTGGGCAACATGGTGAAACCCCGTCTCTACAAAAAAATAGCCACGCATGGTGGTGCCTGCCTGTAGTGCCAGCTACTTGGGGGGCTGAGGTGAAAGGATCACTTGAGCCCTGGGTTGAGGCTGCATTGAGCCAGGATCACACCACTGCACTCCAGCCTGGGTGACAAAGCGAGACCTTGTCTCAAAAAAAAAAATTAATGAACTTAGTAAATAGGACCAAGTATTATCCAAAGATCTCTTAAATCTGATTCCTGAGTATCCTAGATGTATGATAAGGAAAATGAGATCTATAGCCTGAACTTTAATAACTAATGAAAATATACATTTAGGATTTATATGTTTCATATGTTGAAAATTAAAACATAAAGCCAAAATGAACATCTGCATAGTTCCTCTGTACCTAAAAACTACCCTCAAGGATACCAAAAGCCTCGTTTTAACAAATCCATGCCATCCCTTGTCCATTTCTGGCTGCCAATGTATCAAATACTTTTTAAGGTCCAATTAAAATACACCAAGTCAAAATTATTTTTTTTAATTTTACCTTTCTATCTTCAGATCACATGTAAATCTGTTCTGTTTCAAGCCACCTTTTACTTGATTTATAACTATTATGTGAACTTGAAGTGCTTTGCCTTGACTTGTCACAGTCTGTGAAATGTGCTAAGCTGTGATAGGTGAGCGGCAGAGCTCTGAGCTCCACGCAGACTGCTTGGGTGCAAATCACACTCTGCTACCCTGCTTAACTCTCAGTGCCTCTTTGCTGATCTGTAAAAGGTGGTAGAAATTGTGTCTACTGCACAAAAGCTATTCTGAGGATTAAATGATATAATTAACAGATTAAATTCTATGATAAGTGCTTAAAACGATGCCTGGTACTTGGCAGACATTCAATCAATCAATAAGACATTATCATGTTTGTGAACTTCAGTGTTCTTAAACTGCGTCATGCCATTGCAAGCTCACTGTGCAAAGAGATCAGTCTTACTGAGTTGAATGTAGAGGGAGGATTTCTCAAATCTCTGCGGTAAGGTTGCTGGGTTCAAAGAAATGGATTCTGGATCCAATGCTTGTTCAAACCTTGCTGGGCTGACTGGA